TGGGGGCGCTGCAGCATTGTGAGTGCAGGGGCTGGAGTATGGGGGCGCTGCAGCATTGTGAGTGCAGGGGCTGGAGTATGGGGGTGCTGCAGCATTGTGAGTGAACACAAAGCAGTGGGAGGATGCTTTGATTTCACAGTGATGTCAGGTTTACCTTGTCCTCGGTCATTGAATCGGGGGTCAGGTGGCCCATTTGAAGGACTCTCCTCCTGTCTTTTCAGAAGCTCGTCCTGAAGCAGGCCCTGGTCATCGTGCTGCAGTGGGGCTTCAGTCACAACTTCAGTGTCCGCCTGTATGCACTTGTGGCTCTTAAGAAAATCTGGGGCATGTGTAAGACGATGCAGGTGGCAGAATTGGACGCGTTGACATCTGTGATCGAATCCAGTCTTAATCAGGTGGAAAGCGCGCATGGATCGGGGTAAGGAACGGTAACCGGCAGGCAGTTCTTCCAGTGGCACAGGGCGGCTTGCAGATGGTGCCCGTCTCGGCTCCCCTGACCTCATGCAGAGCACAGAGCTGGTGAGGCAGAGCGGGCGCCGCCCACCGCGTGATGTGCAGTTTAGTTACAGTTCAGATTGTTGGCAGCTCCGCTTGACCTTCTAAAACGCTGCTGTGGATGGAGCGTCCTGCATGGCCCTGTACCTTATAAAGCCCCCTCGGGGAAAGTCACCCCACACAGGTGTCTGCTGGTGTTGGACCTAGTTCCTCACCTCCAAGTTGTTGTTTTACTGCATTAATATTACTGATCATCACCGTCCAGGAAATGCAGAGCCTTACACATTGCAGAGACCCAGGCAACTTGAATCCACAAAAGGTCTTTCTTTACACTCAAAGGCACTTACTGATTTATGGAAACCAGTGAGCAGGTAGAGGTGTTTTCTTTTTTTTCCAATGTTACATATTCATTTACAAATTTAATGTTAAATGTGTAAATGCTCTTTCACTTGAATCACATTTATGATCATGTGTTTTAAATTATAAAACACTCAAACCTTAGGGAAAACAGGGCATGACAGTTTAGATGCATATATATGAAGTCTTCATTGCCATAGACTGTTACTTTATAAGTTTAATGTTTTTTTAATAAGGATATTTTTCCATTGCTTTTCAGAGAGAGTGTGGGGGGCTGAAATGTCGATGTGAGAGACACATCAATTGGTGCGTGTCCTTGGCCAGAATTGAATCTGGGCCCCTTCACAGCGTGGGCCCATGCTCTAACCACTGAGCCAGCACGGCCAGGGCTGTTTAATTTTCAAAGATGGGATTTTAGCACACTTATTTCTCTGAACAGAAAAATAAAAGGAAGCTTGATACTGACATTCTGAAATACGCATTTCTCTCCCCAGAATCCTTTTCCTTCAAAGGAATTCCTCCTCCCACTGGGTTATTTTTTTCATAGACGACATGATACTGATAGTCCAGCTGTGTTAGCCGAATTTTTGAGATTCTAGCATAAAGGTTTGACTGATCTCTGTGAATTGCCAATACACTTGGAGATGATGGTATTGTAACTAAAGGAAAAGTTTCCTTAGCATGTTACATCGTTTTGGTTTTCAAGTACATTCGCAAAGCAATCGTGAGGGTGAGAATGCAGCTCATTTGGTTTCATTTAAAGCAGCTAGAATTCTCGATCTTTTTCAAGTGACCACCAGTGTCTCCTTCCTTTTTGGTGTGGGCTGTGTACATATTAATATTTTTCAGGGAGCATTTGTATTGTGTAGTGAGCCAGACTCAAACTGCATAAGTTGTTCCAAATCATACTTTAATGTACAATTAGTGAAGTTATGCTTCTGTTTGACAGCACACGCTGATCCCTCTGAATGCTTGGGTCTGAGTCAGAGGCCAGTGACGGCCCAGTGATGGCCCAGTGATNTTTAATGTACAATTAGTGAAGTTATGCTTCTGTTTGACAGCACACGCTGATCCCTCTGAATGCTTGGGTCTGAGTCAGAGGCCAGTGACGGCCCAGTGACGGTTGCTCCCAGGACTCGGCCTGTCTTTGGTGGAGGGGCCGAGGGCACGGACGGGTTTTGACCATGCGGATAGGCTTGTGTGTCAGTGTGTACTTCCCTCCAGGAGCAGATTGTGACTTACTGTTCAGTGTTGAGGTGTTTTAGTTGCTTGTTGATTCTGCTCAGAATTCTTGGTAGCTGTGTTTTGATTTCTAAGAACAGTGGGCTCAGCTCATATTTTTTATTAAGCAATGAAACACCCTTTTGAGAAATAACTTTTCTTTTTCAAATGCTAGTACCAGGTAGGAGATAAAACCATAAGAATAGGTAAGCCTGCTGGGAAGCAGTTCTTGGAACGCCCACGTCCTCAGCAGTGGCTTTGCGACAGGCTCAGCCGCAGGGAGGCAGGCAGGTGAAGTTTCTGTGTTCCTGGAGTCCACAGTCAGGTGGAGACGGGCATTAAATAAATAATCACACCGATTAAGAAAGGTCTGAATCACGGCGAGTCCTCTGAGGGAAAGTCGGGGTTGTGGTGAGAACGTGCGGACTGTTTACTCTGGACCGGTTTGTTGCAGCCCACACTACAGGGAGAGCGGAAGCAGGCAATGGAGAATGGAGGAAGTGATTTCCAGGCAAAGGAGACAGTGTGTGGGACCCATGGAGGCTGGAGGCGTGGCCCTGCTCCCAGGTGACATAGCAGGTGACTGAGGAGGGAGCAGGGCAGCAGGAACCCGGGCAGGGCAGACAGTTGGAGGCTACTATTGAGTGAACTGGGGAGACCTCGGAGTTCAGACTCTAGATTGGCATCAGCCAGTTTCCTTTTGCAGTTTTAAACGAGTGAGGAGCAGATGAGAGGCAGGCAGGAGAGGGGGCAGTGGCGGGTTAGGTTAGCGGGAGGGAATGGGGCGGAGGAGTGCACAGGTTGGAGGGAAGGCCAAGTGAGAGCCTGAAGGCGCCCCTGGGACTTGGAGCAGTTTCAACAGTGCCGTGGGTCGGAGGGCAGAACCAAATTAAAGTGGGTCAAAGAGTGGTGGGAAGTATGTTCACCTTTGTTAAATCTGGTGATGGGTTCAGTGGTGTCTTGTTTTCTTTGTTTGAATGTTTGAAATACTTCGTCTTTGATTTTTACAAACGGGCGACAAGGTGGGTGAAACACAGCCAGGCTGTGCAGATAATTCTCCAGCGACGTCTCTGTAAGTGGGAAGGACAGCAGTTGGTGGTGGGTGTGCCATCAGAGGAGGGCTTTAGTTTCGTTTTTGGTAACCTTTGTGTTTGAAGGTTATCAGTTGGTGAACTGAACAGTGGGGACGGGTCCCACAGAAACAAGACCTGCTGTCCCTCCCTCTCCCCACCAAAACTGTTCCTCCCGAAGACGGGCGTTTTCCACCAACAGCGTTCCAGTGTGGGGCTGTGCCTTCGTCATCTCCGAGTCCCGACTAAAGAACCCTTGGATAAGGGTCCATTTTGCTTTTCAAAGTTAGACATAAAGCTCTTTGGAGTGGGCCAGAGGAAAGGCTAGAGAAGACGAGAAATTTTGAAGGAAGGATGTGGAGCGGAGTCCAAGGGGGAATCTAGAGCACACCCTGGGGTGCTGTCCTTCGAAGAGAGACTGTTGAGAGCAAAGGGAAAAGAGGACAGGTGTGTGGGGAGGTCGTAGGTCTGTCCCTTGCCTGTGAGATGGGAGCATGGTCGCCTGCCCGCTGGTGGCGAGTCTGCTGACACCAGGGGTGAGGGGCTGGGACCTGGGGCGTGGCCACAGGAGAGGGACCCTGCCAGGAAAGTGAAGCTGCTTACTTAGCTTTTGGCTTGCGGATTATGAATTTAAACTGAAACCTGCCAGGCATGCTGAATTTTCACCCTTGCCTCTTTTGCCTTTTAAAACTTGACAGATGTGTTAAGAATTCAAGACCTACTCACATTAAATTTGTCTGGTTTATGAAAATTGGTGACAGTTGGCTCCATGTTGCCTATCTTCAGAGTGGAAAACAGGATGTTAGTCATGGTTTTCTCTCCTGAAAAAGGTGTTTACTGGCAGAGACTTAAGGACTCCAACCCAGATTTCTTATAGAGTTCCCCTTTAGAGGTCCCTTTCCCAGGCATTTGAGGCTGTTCCCATTGTCCTCAGTTGCCCATCACGTTGGCTGGAGCACAGGCCTCTGCACACCCCGCTAGACTGACCCCCACACTGTGAGGACCTGGCTTCCATTCCTGTGAATCATTCATTCTTTGTTCTATGACTTTGACAGAGTTTTTTTGTCAGTTTTTGTGTTTCATTTCAAAAGGTCAAATGTTGTGTCAATTTTCAAAGTATGCTGGTCTTGGAGATAGATGTGTATAAATCTTAGGATAAAATTCACAAAATTTCTGATCTTTCTAAATTCTGCAGCACCTCTGTAAGGTACCTGACTTCTCCCCTTACCTTGTCTGCACCTCATACCTGATTTTCAATCCTTAGGAACGCCAAGAAGAACTGGCAACGCATCCAAGACCATTTCTTTTTTGCAACATTTCACCCACTTGAGGATTACTGTCTGGAGGTGAGCAGAGCCTGTCACATGCACACACTCTCCCGTACTCAACCCCACGCTTCCTTTTGGCAGAGTTGTTGGAGGGTTACGATGAGCTTTCCTTTCCCCTTGCTCGCTTCACCTGAACACCTGAAGTGCCGAGTTTAACTGTCCTTTATGCAGGTGACCTGCTTGCTTTCACTCCTAAGCAGTGGAACTGGCTCGTCATTTTCACTTTGTTTCTCAGGCAGTGTTGGGATTGGAAGGGGGAATATTTAACTCTGAACAGAAATCTGTTCTGACATTAGAAGGAAGGGAGTGAACATTTGTGCAGGTGAGAGTTTGTTGTAATGAAGCCCACCGCTAATGAAAGACCAAGGTCTACCCTGCTGTTCACTGCCTTTTCTGGACCTGGGTGACGGAAACTGTATACCAAGTGACAGACCACCTACCAGATGTGCTTATGTGATTTTAAGAACCATAAATGTGTCGTTTACAGCTGGTGTGTACGTCAGTTAACTTGATGTCTAAATTACTAAAATTTGTAGACGTTTCCTTTCTCCCTCTGGATGGAAACACTTGGCCTTGCTCTTTCTGCTATAGAACTTGTGTCAGTGCCTTTGGCCGCTGTGCAGGAGTGAGTGGTTTTGGTGGATTACTAATAACATGGCCTTTAAAAAAATGCAGCTCTATCGATTGTTAGTCACCATAGAGCACCATGTGTACTTTCTGCTGCTTTATTGCAAACGTTGTTTAGGGTTTTTACATATTTAACCTGCTCTGTTCTGTGTCCCTAGTTCCCAGAGCGCTTTGGTGTTTTTCTGAAGGAAATTTTTACCTCCCTAGGTTAAGCCACCTCTCTGTTCAGTTCTCCAGCAGGAGTAAGTCCTTGCTTTCCTCTCTCCCTGCCTTTGACGGCCTCTCTCATGTTCTGCGTAGTTCATTCTCCATTCATGAGTGAATCATAACTACGTGTGTAAACAAATCCTGGTGCACAGAACTCTGTCCATGTGTAGCTGTGTTAGTACCTACCTAGGTATCGAGCTGCAGTCACGATGCGAGTCTAGATTACACAGATGCTGCATGAGAACACCATTCTCATTCTAGACTTTATGAAGCCTCGCATGTTCTGTATTTACTGCATGTTCTGTATTTACTGCTTCATTTTAAAATTGCCTCATCCCCGTGCCTCTGCTTCTCATGTGCTGTTGACCTTGGGTGACTTTCTGGTTCTCAGTCCTTGTAGGGGAGAAAGGAAGGACTGTTCATGTGATGACTAAACAGTGGTTTGCACTGTGCAGTTTACAAAATGCCTTTTTCATGTGCTGTTTTAACCTGATTTTATCCACACTTTACAAATGAGGAATTGAAGCCAAGAAAGGCTAAGTGGTAGTGAGGTGAGGATCTGGCACAGAGGTGATGAGTAAATAGCATCTTTCCAACCGCTGTCCAGCATCAATACTGATTCCAGACACTTTTGTTCATTGAGAGCACACGGTTTGTCATGTGCGCGGAGGGACCCCAGCGTGGAAGCTGCCCTGCTCTCAGGGATGGTCCTGAATTAAGCCCCTGATTTCTTAGGAAAGATGACACATGTATCACATATATAGGCAGTTGCTACAAGACAGAAAGGTTGTAATTTGATCAGATATGATAGTTTGGGAAAATTAACACATCAGTAATAAGAAGTTATACTTGAAACAGTTATGTATTTCTTTGTTATTTTTAAGGGAAAGATTTAGATTTAGGTTTTCTTTTCAGACCATATTTTACATCCTTCCTCGCCTTTCGGGCCTTGTTGAGGACGAGTGGATTGCCCTTGACAAGTTCACCAGGTTCACGGACATCCCCTTGGATGCAGGATGTCAGCGCTACCTTTCTCCAACTCAGCTTCGTGAACTACGGCCAGGTGACTGGGCTCAGCAGGACGTAGGTAAAAATAATTTTTGTTTTACTTTTGCCCAGTGTTGACTTGCTTGAGCTTATTGGTTTAAGTTACTTAGAACAGGCGGTTGGTAAAAGTACCTTTTTGTTGTGTGGTGAACTCTGCTCCTCCACTTGGAGAAGAGACAGTGGAAAAACGTGGTATAACTTTGAGTATTACTTTTAGTTGGCCATTAGCTTTGCTATAAAAAGGCAGAGAGCCTGATCTGCTTCCTTATATAAAGCTAGTGGCTGCTCTTTTCTTTGAACTATTGTTAATATTCATTGCTTTCCAACTATATATTTCTGTAAAACATAGATTTTAAAAAGGGCCAAATTATGAAATGTCTTGTCCCATTTAGGAATGCATCCTTGGTCTAGTTGGATGTCACCTCACCTGCCATCTTCTTCCTCTAGCTTCCTTAGGGCCCGCCCTCCTCCTCCCCTTCACCTTCCCTTCACAGCCAAGCTTGTGGGGCTTGATCCCTAAAAATCCAAGAGTCATTTTTAAAATCACAACTAATCTTAAGAGTTGTGTAGCCAAGGTCTACATTCTTGTCATTGTCACAGCTGTTCTTGTTCTGACTCCCTAGCCCGTAACCATCACTGAAACTTTGATCTCTCTCTGCCCCACCTCCTTCCTGGGCCACTGGACACTCCAAGAGCCAGGCATGGGGAACGTCCAGCCCGAGGGCCGTATGAAATCATTTGGTCTGGCCTTGCCAAGGCAACTGCAGGTGGGACTCAAAATTCAATAAATCTAGCTTTGTTCATAGATAATTTTTAAGTTGATAATTTTGTATGGCCCACGAATGATGTTATAAGTATCCAAATGGCCCTTGGCAGCAAAAAGGTTCCCCACCCCTGCCATAAGCTCTTTAAACTCAACACGTCCCAGTTGGATTCACCTTTCTGTCACACCTGCCCCTTCCATACCCTTTCTGTGAGTGGTAACACTGTCACATACAGGTCATTCCTTTCTTTTCTCTCTTGGTGAATTGGCTTCCCCGCTCAGGGTGCTTGTCCTGTGACCCTTCTTGCAGTGACTTAACTTGGACTGTCCTGTCTTTGCCTGGACTCATGCAAGAGCCTCTTCATGGTTTTCCAGCCCCAACTTTTCCTCCCATCACTTTTAAGAGGGATTTTTCTAAAACTCAAGACTTCTGTTATCCCCCTTCCTTAAACCTTTTAATGGCTCCTATCTGTAGAATAAACTCTTTATCGTTATGTGCAAAGCCCGTGATCTGGTTGGAGCCTTCTCCGTCCACGGCACGCTGTGAGCCACACCAGCGTGCAGCTGCTGCCCGGTGTTCCTTCCACGCCTGTGGACGCGAACATGCTGGATCAGTCCACACTGCCTTGCACATTACTGCCCTTCACTGGAGCCTTTGTGGGCACTCCTCTTTGCCCTCCCTCCCCTGAGGTTAATAATGCCTTTCTGGAGAGCATGCTTCTCTGCAGTGCTGTAGGGTAGTTGTTAGCATGTCTTTTCCATCCCCAGTAACCAAGTGATCCTTGGTTGCTCAGTTAGCAGTTTGGAGTAGGACAGGGCTGAGGAGAGCCTGAGGGTCATCTCAGTGCTGTGCTGGAGATCGAAGCACTGTGGACAGACAGGTAAATTACCTGCTGGGTACCCAATGAGAGAACATCCTTTACTTTAGAACACAATCC